TTTTCATTCTAAACTTGATCTAAAGCCAGAATTAAATGTTGACAAATGATGCGTATTGGTTTGTACAATGCAATGATAAGCAGTGATCATGAGTTAAGAGTTAATTTAAACAGGTTATAGTGACACATTTATTACTAGGCAGAACTAAAATATTATTTCAATATCTATTCTTAAGAGCTTGAATTGTTTGATGCTGAAAAATCAATCAAAGAATTTGGGCTTAATTGGTCAATGTGAAAGATGTAAAGATACTACTGAATGATGTTGAAGAAGTTCAATGCATTTTAAAAGAACCCCTAATTCACTGATGTCAGAATTTCTAGGATTATTAAGATATTACGTGATATACTACTCTGTATCCAAATGTTAATTATGAATGTTAACAGAACTAAATTTACTCTTTGTTGTCAAAAATGAAGACTATCACTATAGAGAGTAGTTTTTCTGACCATTCATTAGGGGAAAAAAAAAATCTCCTCAACAGGTTCTGGAACTTAAATATGAAACCCAGAGGAAACATGGTTTCTTTGAACAGTTCATCCAAGAGACACTCTAATGAAGCTCTGCTTTGCATAATTTGATCAAAGTTGACAACCTCTGGTTCTATTTACTAATATATGGCAACCACAAAATACAAACACAACAAACTAGGAATCACAAAGTACTTAAAAGTAAGGGGTCTGGAATGAGCCAAAATCCAAATCCTGTCTCCACCATTTCCTGGCTACATCACAATAACAACAGTGAAAATCCTACTGTGTATTTCTGCAGAATCTAAAGAGAGCATGTAGGTTGCACATTCAAGCAAGGTTGGGCATATCCTCTCTCTTCAACCTCTCAGAAATAACCAGCTGCACAATTCACAATAGCTAGACTGTGGAACCAACCTAGATGCCCTTCCGTAGATGAATGTATAAAAATATACATATATATACACAATGGAATATTAGCACTAAAAAATAACAAAATCATGGCATTTGCAGGGAAATGCATGGCATTAGAGCAGATTATGCTAAGTGAAGTCAGCGAATCCCTAAGAAACAAATTCCGAATGTCTTCTTTGATATAAGGGGCATGACTCAAAACAGAGCAGGGAGGAAGAGCATGAGAAGAAGATTACCATCAAACAGGGAGGAGAGGTGGGAGGGAATGGGAGAGAGAAGGGGAATTGCACAGAAGATGGAAGGAGACCCGCATTGTTATACAAAAATACATATAAGAGGATATGAGGAGAAAGGGGAA